ATCAATTTATAGTTTTAAGCCATTGAATTAAATATTAATATAAGGATATAAAATGAAATAATATGAACCTGATGGTCTTTAACTGCATGGTAAAATGGAGAAGCAGTGTGGAAAACACACTCGCAACCATCGACTATAGAGTCAAAAGAGCCTTCTTCAAGTAAGTTAGCTTTGCTCAAGTGAAGTCTCTCCATAGCTCCTTCAAGGGACATCAAGTGCTCCGTCTTCTTCGAGTCATCTGCAACATTAATTAATTTCTCCATATTCATTCAATTTTCAAAATTATTTGAAAAAAAAAAAACAACTTTCGTCAACCCCACATACACATTATTATACAAGCAGGCTTATTCTCAAATTCTGAAAATCTGTAAAATAAATAGATAATTATCACGGAAAAATATGAGCCATAAAACTACTGTGTTCATAAATGTGTAAAATATATAGTCAAATTTGACAATCAACATAAACTTTGATGTACAGAATTTACATAAATCGGTAAAGTAATTCATAATTATTTTATTTTTTCATATAATAAAGATAATAAGCTTCTTCTTAATCATAAACTAACTTGGGTCACGAACGGATGCCTTGACTGTATAACCCTTCTCGAGCAAGAATTTGACGATCATTAAAACCTGATGCTCCTGTTACACACACTGTCTTCATTATATTATTTCAACCTAAAACTATTCTCTTTGTTTCAATCGTCTTTAATATCTCTCTCTTCATGTGTTTGAGTGCTCACTATATTTTTCAAAAACTATTTATGTTTTGCGAAAAAGAGTTTCAGTTTTTCAAACACTATATTTTTCAAACACTATTAAGTTGGGGTTTTTCCTAATACAAAAGTAATATTTGGTATTTCATATATTTTCTTAATTAATTTTCATATAATTCTTTTCCCTCGTTAATCATTTTTAAAAAACAAATAAACCTAAAAGACAAAGTGCAAAACATGCAAAATTGATTATATTTCAACATATTATTCAATATAAATAAATATACATATTTAAATATATTTTGGATATATAAATTATTAAACCAATTAGTTTAAATGATATATTTAGTTTAATATATTCCGAGGGCGTGTTTCTGCAAAAACTATTCAAATTAGAGCTCCAGAAATATAAGTGTTTATACATAATTTCATAATTATTTTCAACGTGCTACATTTTTTCGCAGTTTGTATTTTCCGGTATGTTCAACATGCTACAATTTCCTCTCATGTATTTTTAATTATGTTTGTATATATTGCTTGATACAAATTAGACAAAATTTAAAAATAACTAGATAATCATTCAAAAAAAA